TAATTAACCCTCTTTTATTAATTTATGTATTTAATTATTCATACCTAATATTCAAGAAATTCTCATTAACCAACCACCCGATGCAACTAATAGAGTCGCCATTATAGTCATATATGACTATTTAAATTTAAATTAATAAAAATAAAGTAAAATTAAAAATTCAGTTCCCCATCCTCATTAGCCACATTTCAAGTGCTCACTACTCACATGTGGCTCGTGGCTATCATATTGAACAGAACAAATTACAGGTCATGTCCATCAGCACAGAAATTTCTGTTGGACATAAAATACATTCTTTACCTTTAGCTAATCGGCTAGAACTGTTTCTAATGAAGCTAAACGGGACCGATCATAATTCTTTATCATTGGTCTATGCTGATTCTCCTTGGTTTGATTTGATCATTTCCAAAGGACTTTTAATTAACATCCATAAATCCAGTCTCTGACTCCACAGGTAGAACACCTACACTGTCTCTCATCTCCCTTTGTGTTCCTTGCTCAATGAGTTAATAGCCTAGATCTTTACCCATGGAGGGCTGTTTAAATAAGCTAAGCACATATACACCATGAAATACAAAAGAGCTGGTAAAAGGAATGAAACATGCTAGGTTATGGTAGTCAAAAGCACAGAACTAAATTAACTGTAATCCTTTCATCTTTGGGTCAGTCTCATCACCAGTCTACATTTTGGATACTCTGTATCTTATATGTCTATCACGGGTTTCCCTTGTGGCTCAGATGGTAAAGAATCTGCCTGAAATTCTGGTAAATAAATCCTGGTAAATAAATTAATATTTATTAATTTTCTTAGCACTGAAATTAACATCCAACACACGATCATGCAAAAACAGGAATATTGAATATCTGCTCCTTAACCGACACATACTTCAAATGGACCTGGGATGTACGAAATTCTTGTTTTAGATGCTAAGTCTTGTCTGACTCTTTTGCAAATCCATGCACTATAGCCAGTTGGATTCCTCTGCTCATGGGACTTCCCAGACAAGAATATTTGAGTGGATTGCCATTTCCTTTTCCAGTGAATCTTCCCAACCCAGGGATGGAACCCGTGTATATTGGCAAGGGGCATCTTTACCACATGGGCCACCAGGGAAGCTCCATGTACAGAATCAGAAAAGTTTTAATTCTGGAATAATTAAATATTATTAGCAGCTCATGTTTGCCCTCTCATTTTATTTATTAATTTGTTCATTCATTCATTTACTTACTTATGAACACCCTTGAACTACTGTCTACCTGAAGATTTAAGAACATCAACTATTACTTACATTTTCTTTGCCTTATCCTTATCATCCAAATAAGAGTCAAAATTTTCATAAAAACTGCATGATTAAATAAACTATGTCCATTTCATGCAACAGAAAGCAATTTTTTAAAAGAAGGAACAGCCTGGATCATTTTTAATGAGTCTCACTTGTGTAGAATTGAATTAATCAGCCTTAGTTTATGAAACATTATCCTCACTGGTCTGTGGTTTGTCCTTTTAAATTTTATGTATCCCTTTAAAAAAAAAACAATAAAAGGACATTCATGAATCTCACACAAAGTATAACAAGCTACCACTTCTTTTCATTTCTATGTGCATCTCTCACTGAGTTATCAGTCTAAACTTCACCAGTAGGAAAATGTTGCTAAAACCATAGTGCATAACAGTAGAAGGCTATTAAAATAAATGAAATAGCATATTTTTGTTTCCATGTCCCTCAAAATTGCAGAACTGTGTAGTCCTAAATCTTGGCTCATACTATATCATCTTCTTTAGTCCATGCTTTTACTAATTTTGATTTTACTAATATAAACACCCATTTCTTTATAATAAATCAATAAACATATAAGGACACACTATTCATCCGAAGGCTAAGGGAAAGTAACAATCATATTTATATAAATATATATATTATTAATGTATAATATAATCATACATAAAATTAACATAATGAGCCACATATATAATTACTTTTTTATTTGCTTATTTCTTACAGAGAGAACAGCCCAGTTATATTCTTTTTTAATTCAGTGACAGGCCAAATGAGACTCCTCATCCTGCGTTCAGGACAGTGTCTCATCACTGGTCTATGCTTGGCCATCTTTGATTTTATTTGTGCCCATTCATGTTCAACAGCGCATATGCAACCATCAACCAACCACCCAACCGTAAAACAACAACACTAACCATCACTCACGTTGGTTGGTCCATGGCTCATTTCCCACAGAGGTCACAGCCAAGATCTTCATCAACAGTGTCATTAGACCCACTCTGGGGCCTCCACGCTGCAGAACACAAGGCAGATATTCAAAACGGTGAAACAACCGAGATCTTTTCTAACGGTCATCGGGTGAGCAGCACAGAATTAATCACAATCTTTAGTTCCTGACACATTCTCATCACTGGCCCAAGTATAGCTCTCATTGTACATATTTTTCCATCTAATAATTGTATTTATTACAATAAACATGCATGAATTCACCACCCTAATCAAAAACAAGAATAGTGACTGTTACAAACATCTGTCTCTACGCTTCTTCCTTACAGAAAAACCAGCCCTGATCTTCTTCCTAATGGACTCAGCTAGGCTGAAGTGTGATAATGATGATCTTTGATTCCAGACATATTCTCATCCTTATTCCTGGTTGTCCTTTTTCTTGTTTTTACTTAGTTTTTTGAAATACAATAAGCACACATGAACTCAGCACTAATCCACAACAAAAATATCGATTAGTCCTTACAGACCAAAGCTTCTGATCCACAGAAGTAAGAGTTTCTGTATTGCTGTTTTAAATAGTCCACAATTGTATATAAATGGATTAATCTTGAGCCAAAATCCATAAAACGTGATCTTTGGTGGCCCACACTTGGCTCTCCTCCTGGCATGTATTTTATTTACTCATCTAATTCACTCCTATTAATATATCAAAAACACCAGAAGCCACCATTCAGCCCAAGACCTGTTAATACACCACCTACCCACAGTCCCAACAGCCTAGAACTTACTAGGAATTTGTTTTGTTATTTTTAATAACTACTGTTGGGTAGAACTAAATTAGTCATAATGCTTGTTTGAAAACACAGTCATCAGTGGTACTTGCTTGGCTCTCTTTAATTCAATTTGTGCATTCATTCATTTGTACAAAAACTATGCAGCGAACACTCACTAATGCCTGCTTTTATCTGTCTACACTTCTCTCCCCACAGCCAAGATCTCTTCTGGCACACAAACACCAGTGTGCCCATTCTATGGAACACAAACCCCCATGAAAAAGAAGAAAATAGCCCAGACCTTTTTGGGTGTTAATGTCAGGTTAGCAGACCTGTATTAATCATCACCTTTTCTGCAGACCCATTTTCACAACTGCGCTACTCAAGGCCATTATTTCTTTATTCTTTGATTTTTTTTTTTAATAATAAAATGAAGGACCACAAACCACTCTGATCTCTTTTTCATGTCCCTGGGTTGTGAAGAATTAACCGCAATCCTTGGTTCACGACCCCTTCTCCTCCCGATGCCTCTCTTATTTTACTGATTACACAAAGCAATAATCCTGCAGGGCCCCCACCTTCAGCGCCTCCCCACTTAGTTCCCGGCTGCCCTCTACCTTAAACAAGGACCCCCACACCCCCTGTGTCCTGTTCCCTTCCCCTTTAGTACATGTAAAACTTTATCACATATGTATTCTTAAAAAGTATTTTCCACGGTTCAGTGGCTGGCTGGGCCTCTGGAGGGCCTGTGTCAAGGGGGAGAATTAAATACATATGATGGACTTACAAGCACACTCACCAAGGGGTGGTAAAAGGACCGGAAGCTCTTTGTCTATGCTCACAGTCACGAGGCATTGTGGCCCAGCGGCTAAAGCACATATGCTGGCATCACACTGCCTACCTCCACACCCAGCCTCCGGTCTTGGCTAGCTGGGCCACACCGGGAAAGTGAACTAACCTCTCTGTGCCCGTTCTCCCCACCCGCAGCGCAGTCAGGCAGCAGGCCCTAAGCAGCATCAGCTACCCTCTTCCTGCCAAAGTCAGCCAAGGAGCCCACCCCTTCGCTCCCCAGCGCTGAGCCCCTCCCCCACAGCTTCCTTCCGTCTGCAGCAGCTGTGGTGCCAGACAGACAGACAGACCAGGTTCCACCCCAGCAGGCACTCGTGAGCGGTGTAACTGCAGAGACGTGACCTGGCTTCTCTGCCTTGTGCCCCAGACTCGTGCGACCAGTCGACTGCGGACAGCGACAACCGTGGGGGTCCAACGTGGGGGTGCGTTGGACCACAGACCTCTCCGCAAGCAGCTCCCACCCAGTGCTCACCCTGCCCCTCCCCCGCCCCCACGTCGCCCACCCGCGGGTCCAACACCCCCGATCTGATCAGAGAAAGGAGTGATCTCGATGCTCAGGCCAAGCCGAGGGTTTCCGAAAGGATGGGCCTTGGGCCGGAAATTGTTGGGATCTGTTCTTTTTTGGACCCAGCATCAAAGCTTAAACAAGTGCCCTGGAAAACAGAAATCCAACTAAGGGATGCGCTTTGTAAAACTAAAATTCATTTCATGAAATGGGCCTGCCTTCGGGGGAGTCCATGCCCTGAAATTCTTGATGTTCACATTGTTTCCCAGAAACCGAAAAACCATGACCCTAAGTGACAAGACACAGCCAGCTTCCTTCCTGCCCTCCCAGACTGGCCTGGTGGGAGCCCAACATGCTGGCCCCAGAGCAACTCTCAGGCGTGAAAAATAAAAAATAAACGACAAGTTAAAACATATTCTCTTATGCAGTTGTGCATATGATGCAATACACACACAAAAACGTACCCACATGGGGACCTACGTAAGGAACTCATGGGAAGAGCCCTAGGCTGGGGATCCCGGTCCAGGCTCCCGCCTCCGCCTCGACCCCACCTCGGGGCATGGGGCGCTCCCCCTGCTGCACCTAGGCGTCAGTGATCTCCCAGGCTTCCCTCCCCTCCCGGAGGGTGTGAAAATGAAAAGCATAAACTTCAAGTTTCCTCGGACCGTTACCTGTACCTCCAGCGCTGGCGCGTAGTGTCCGCAGCATGTCTTCGCATACAATGTCCCATCTGAGCTTCACAACAGTCCTGTGAATAAGACATGATCATCACGAGGAGCCAACATTGACTGGATGGACCCTCTCCTCCAGGCACCACGCTGCCTACTCTGCAGTCATTGGCAGTGCTCTGGGATGAGAACAATTCAACAGCATCTTTCTTTTTTTCCCCCAAAAAAGTTTTGAGCATGCGCTTGGTGCCAGAAACAGGCCAGGGAAGACAGCAATGAATGAAACAGACAAAATCTGAGAGCTGACATCCTTGCAGGTGGAGACAGAATAGATAATATTCAAAATAAGTTAAGTACAATATGCAGTTTATAAGATGTCGGTAAGAACTGTGGGGGTGGGGGGTGGACAGAAAGCAGGGAAAGTAATGATAGAAGACAAGAAGGAATTCCCTGGAGGTCCAGTAGCTAGGACTCCATGCTTCCACTGCTGGGGATCCATATTCGATCTCTGGTGAGGGAACTAAGATCCCACAAGCCACATAGCACAGCCAAAAAAAAGAAGAAAACACCAAGGAGGAGAATGTCTCACTGAGAAGGTGATATCTGAGCAAAGACACGATTAGTCCCATTTAACACATGGGGAAACTGAGCCTCACAGAAGTTATGTGACTTACAAGTGGTCACACAGCTAGGAAGATGCGGGCAGCCAGGGTGGAGCGCCTGGCCTCAGCATTTCTTAGTCACTTAACCCCAGGACCTCATTTTTGCAGTAGCTCTTGCTCTCTGCTACCAAACTGTCAGCCCATAAAGTGAGAGTGTGGATGCACATTGTGGGCCTCCAGGAGGGTTCATCTCCCCTCCCACACAGGCATTGCCAGGATGTACCAAGAGTTTTGGTCAAATAAGTGAACCTTCTTGGAGGAGATGGCAGCAGTTGACAGTTCCCACAGGACTTGCATGGATTCTGGGATCAGGTCATGCTGGGAAAACCTGCCCAGCACTACCCGGCAAGTCAGCAGCGATGCTAAACCCATTTCCTACCACATGGTTGTTAGGGCACCCAAATGCATTCACTCCCCTGGTGCCAGCCCCATGCGCAGCCACACGCCGCCTAGGCTTAAGCTGCAAATGTTCTGCCCAGGAATGGAAGGAAGTCACCTGACCCTCGTGTCTCTCATGGTGTGAGACTCAACTGGAACCATTCTTTGTGCCAACCAGCCAATCTCAAAAGACCAAACAAGAAATATGTCTAATGTGGCTATTTTCTAGGCTCCCCTGCACCCACCCATCACCCCCAAAAAAACATGTAGTGAAAGAAGTTTGGTGAGAGTACGCATGGGAAATGTGCCCACTGCTTCTAGAAGCCATGAAACTGAACCAAGACAATTTTATTTCTTCATCTTGCCCTTCACCTACTCAGCTTCTTCTCAGCTCCCATCCAGTCTCTCTAAAACTCTCAAGACCCCCAAGAAAATTCTTTCAGGACAGTTTCACCTATTCTAAGGCTTAAGCTTTCGTCAGATGGATCGTGTTCATTGGGTACATAGAACTCCTATGTATATAACCAGAAATGAAATCGTCGACACATATTTGTTTTTCTATTTCACTGATTGCCCTCTCCAAAGGCAAAGGCTCACACACCTCTACAGGTACCTAGTCAGCTGCCTGTAAAGTATGGATAAAGATTCTTACCAGTCAGACATACTAAGTGCCATCTCATGGAAAACAGCCTTAACAACTGCAATTTTAATTATAATGAAATTTTTACTGCATCCTCACCATCAACACTATTGGTATTCCCATACTACAAGTGCGGAAACTGAGGCACAGAGGTTAAACACTTTGTCCAAACTCACAAAACTAATCAATGGCAGAGCTGGGATTGAAATTTGAGCATCTGGGGGTGTGTAACAGGACTTAGCCCCTAAGCAGATTATCAAAACACAACTGCTGAATTTTTAGCCAGGTCTCCAGGGACACCACTGATTTCCCCTCGACCCCCCGTCTGCTTCCCTCTCTCCTAGCCTTGCACCCCTCTGCTTCTGGAGTCTAGCTCTGCTTCCCGGAGCATTCAGTCAGAATCGGAGCTCCCAGAAATCTAACTTATAATAACTTGGATAACTGCCCTGCAGGATGTCAATGATAAGTCTGACCCCTACATGTGTGATCATTAAAAGTGAGATGAACCAGAGAAGAAGTTGCCTGAGAAATAAATTTAAGATCTGGGGGACAGAAGTTTGGCTCCCTGACAGTCCAGGAAGCTGAGTCTGACATGGCTGAACCCCAAGGAATACAGATTTTTTTCAGGCACGGTCAGAGAGAAAAGAAAACAGGAAGAGGGTACGGGTTTGGTGGAAAAGCAGACAAGGGGTCAAATCCTAGCTCTACAATTGCCCCCTACACGTGGGGCAAGACACGGGCCACTTCTAAACTTCAGCTTCCTTTTAGCTTGATTGAGGATGGTGACTGTTGCAGTGGAGGGTGGCTCTGGTGACCGGAGACGATGTCGAGGAGCTAGAAGAAGACGGAGCACGGGGTTGGGCTCAGGCCTCAGTCATCCAAGAGAGGCAGGGGCAAGGGGACCGTCCTCTGGTTCTCAGTGCAGCGTGAAAGCAGCTGGGACCGAAGGCTGCAACTGAGCGGCTCGAGCACCAGAGCTGGGGCTTGGTCCCCACGGGCTGGCAGCCCCCCTGTTGCCCGGAGCCCCCGGAGACAGTGACTGTGCTCAGAAGCAGCAGAGAAGGCAGGAGCTTTCCCAGTAAGCTCCACTCAGAGGAGACCTCTCTTCACAAATCAAGTGAGCCCTTGGTGTTGATGAGAAACTGACTATTCCCCCTCATTTATCCATCCATCCACCCCCTGCACTTTAATTCACTCACTCAACTCACCAGCCTCCATCAGCCAGCCAGCCACCCCTCTACTCCCGCCTCTTGATACATCCATCCTTCTAACAGACCTGGGTTGGGATCCTGGGTCCTGCTTCCTAGCCAGTCTCAGACAAGTCACTAACCTCTCCAAGTCCTCTCATCTGTGGCATAAAGGGACATCAGACATAGCTGGGGCAGCGATTTAAAGACCTCATTGACATACCAGCAACTGGCCTGAGCAAAGGCTCCTAAAACCTTCATTCCCACTGTGTCTACGATGGGGCTAGGATTTACGTGGGAAGAACACCACAGTATCTTGCATGATGTTTTCTAGGAATTATCTGCCATGTTTTTGTCGTGTGCAACCACCTGTGGCACCTGGGACTGAGCAGTGGTCAGGGCAGGTGAGGGTGGGGGTCCCTCCTGGACACAGAGCAGCGAGTGCCACCTAGTGGACTGGCAACCGGTGGGGTCCCGACTGGGTCCCAGGTTGCAGCAGCTGTAGTCTGCTGTAGGACAGCTGAGTTGCAAGCCAGCTGGGAGGTCTCAGCCTCCCTGACTGCAGGCTGCTCTGTTGGGATTTAGTGCACGTACTTTCCTCATCACTCAGAGGGTCTGGACTGCCAGGAGCCTTTTGTTTTGTGGATGATTGCCAACTCTGATTTGCCTACCCCAGCCTCTCTTTAGAAGTTTCCGGGGGGGCTGGGTGGAGGATAACTCTGGCAGCCACTGTTTGCTAGTATGTCTGCTATGTATTAAATTCAGGGCTGGGGGCTTCATGTGCATTATCTCAAATCCTCTAAATGACCCCAGAGGAGACCCAGAATTTGCTCCACTTTCAGTGAGAAAACTGAAGCTTCCTGAGGTCGGGGTACTCACTTAAGGGGAAAGTAGCTATGCAAACCCCTGGATTTGTAGCTGCACTTACTTCCTATAATCCTGGTGCCCCCCCTTGAAAGTACAGGAAAGAATTTAGACACCGATTTTAACAAGCCAAGTGTAAAAGAAATTTATGAGTCAGTTGGGGCTATTTGAATGCCGAATAGCTATTGGATGACATTAAGAAAATGCTGTTAATTTTTTAACTGTAATAATGGCATTGTGGTTATGTTTGCAAAACAGAAAAGAGTCCTTCTTTGTTAGAGATGGACACTGACAAATGCTGGAATAAAAGGTTGTCTGAATTTGCTCCAGAGGAGTCTGGGGGCAGGTGGGAGTCGTGGAAGGACCGTAGGGGTCTGGATGGAAGGAGAGGGGCTGGGAGTTGTTGGCCGGCAGCAGTAGGAAAACGGTAAACTGCGATGAAAACAGATTACCATTTTCTCCACTTTTATGTTGTTGGAAATTAATCACAATCAAAGGTTTTTAAAATCAACATGTAAAAAACACAGCGCAGTAGTCATGAAATGAAGATAATAATAATAAACAATATCTTAAAGTACAGGAGCCGAGGGGGTAGGAGAGGTGAAGCCACATCAAAGAGCAAAGGGGGCCAGGGTCTGAGCTGACTCCTGGAGGGCCACAGGGGGCTGATTCACAGGCAAAAAAAAAAAGAAAAAGCCTCTAAGTGGAAAGGGGACGAGAGAGGGGCCTGGATGGGTGAGAGCAAGCCATTCTAAGGTGGGGAGGTTAAGGAGAAAAAGCGCAAGGGTGCAAAGCGAGACACCTACCTGCTACCCCAGCGCCCTCCTTCCCTCCCAGGTCCCCCTACACACCCCTCCCAGCCCCTGCTATATCCCTCAAACATCCCCATTCTCCCCCGGAACCTCAGGGCCATCTGCTCCCTTTCCTAGGCCCCCCTGCCCCTCCCCGGCCCCTCTGCCCACCCCCTAGGTCCTCCTAATACCGTGCACCCTCTTCTGACTCCTGATGGGCCCACAGGAGCCTCCCTTCTCCAAGGCAGACCTGGCCACCTGATGACTCCTTCCCTGGGACCAGCTCAGATAGGATTCGGCTATCTAGCTTGTCAAAATTTTTTTCTTTTTTCTTTTCTTGTTGGCTCTTTGGGGAGGACAAGAGGAGGTGGCTTTGGTCCTCCAGCTGTGTGCCAAGCTGGCCCCACCATCACCAGCCCCCCTGTTCCCCACCCCAGCCCTCCTCTTTCCGGTCAGTGACATCACTGGAAACTTCACTGACGCCCGAGCCCAGGTCCAAATCAAGCTTCCCAGACCCCACCTGCAGCTGCCAGACTGCAGTCTGCTTCCTGGGCGCCT